GATAGATTAAGTAAGTCTCAATCTCCAAGAAATGAGCTTGAAAGGGAGCACATGAGAGCATATCCTTATGTATCATTAGTTAAGACTTTAATGTATGCCCAAATTTGCACCAGACCCGACATTGCATTTGTAGTTGGTGTATTGGGCAAATTCCAGAGTGACCCAGGTTTGGATCATTGGAGAGTTGCAAAGAAGGTGCTTAGATATCTGCAAGGGACACAAGATTATATGCTTATATATAGCAGATCTGATTCTCTAGAGGTTGTCAGATATATAGATTTCGATTTTGTAGGATGCCTAGATAGCAAGCAATCAACATCAAGATCTATATTTTTGCTTGCTAATGGTGCAGTCTCTTGGAGAAGTATTAAACATAAATTGACAATAGCTTCTACTATGAAGGCTAAGTTAGTTGCATGCTAGAGACGATTACACATGCAATTTGGTTGAGAAATTTTACCATTGGGCTTAAGGTTGTTGATTCTATTTCAAAGCCTATAAGGATGTTTTTGTGATAATGCAGGAGTCATTTTCTCTATAAATAATGACAAGGTATCTAATGGTGACAAATACATGGATATTAAATAGCTTGTTATAAAGGAGAAATGTGATAAAAATAAGGTGTCAGTTAAGTACATCAGCATTGTGCTTATGGTGCCAGACTCTATGACCAAAGCTATAGTTCCAGGATTGTACAAAGATCATGTAGATCACATGAGTCTAGTGGACAATGATATTGCTTGATGTACTATATGTGCACATTTGGAGACACTATTAGTTTATTGTATCATCTTATTATGTTATTCTGCCTATTATATTTTTGTGGTATAAATATGTTCTTAGCAGAAATTTTTTGATCAACAAATGGATTTTATGGGAAATCCATTTGTAAAGAAAATTAACCTAAAATCTTGTTTATGAGGGTTTGGTGATATTTTGATCATCGAAGATTGTATGCTATTTATTAGTGTATATCCGCCATGGTTCATATTACTAGACTCGAATAATCAAAAATAAAGATAAACTCACTTATGTTGGGATTATTTGATAAAGAGCGCGCATAATTCTACCGAACCCAAGTATTTGTTTAATTTTAAAATATAAGTATTATTATTAATATTGTTTTCTTTCGACTTTCTTGTCAATTCTGTCCAAGTAGGAGAATGTTGGAACCTATTTAATGGGACTCACATGTGGACCTTAATTAACAAGGTATAAACTTGAGTTTTGAGACAAGGATATCCTAATTAAAATATCTAACACATGTTAGTTAGGTTAGTGGATAGTTTTCTTGTAAAAGTGGTGTCGCAGGTACAACGAAACATGTTTAACAAATAGTTAATTTCCTGACAAGTATTTTGATGGGAGGAAATGATTACTGATTATTTTAACGTGAGACAGTTAGTTACCAGTGAAGAGATATAAATTACTTGAAAGATCTCATCTCTTATTCATGCTTACAGTATCTTTCACTCTCTAAAAAAACTTATTTGCAATCCGCTGGGAATCAAGTTCGTGATAATATTCGGTATTATTAGTATTTTTTTCATGGAGATTTTTACTGCATAATTCTATCAAGAATTATTATTATAAATCCCATGAGTCAAAATTTATTTTTTATTCGATCCGTTTAAGACCATTAGGGCTGTCTGGAGTTTGCCCCTGACATTGGGAAAGTAATTTATTTGATTCTACCTCCGCCAAGCCTCCACTATTCTTCCTTTTCTCCAGTCCACAGGCAGCCCCGCACCCTCTCTCTCTCTCTCTCTCTCTCTCTCTCTCTCTCTCTCTCAGATAAAAGCCAGTCCTTACCAAACACGCCAAACTTTCAGAAACGGGCTTTCTCAGCTGAAAAGTCCATACAAGCTGTGCGCCAAGCACACTCTAAATGTCCTATCCATTTCATAATTTTATTTGACTTGTTTTATTAAAACAGGCTTATTGCTTTGAAAAAGATAAAATCATTGATCTTTCACACAAAAAACCCAGAAATTAAATATCAAGACTTACGCATGTATGATTTAAACCTTGTAATTTAAGTTTTTTAAATTTCATGTAGAATTTATCAAAAATTCTTACAGAGAATTCCATGGTATTTATAATAAATTAACTCAACAAATTAAATTAATAAATTAACTCAACAAATTAAATTAATAAATTAGATCACAATAACATTACTATTTAAAAATATTTTCTCTTTCATAAACCACGAAAATAATTTTCTACTGATGGAGTCCGGGCCTAGAGCAATGCTATGCATCACAAATTTCTATACCAAATTTTTATTCTAAATTAAGGAGAATCATTAGATCAGTGAGTCTTATTTAAAAAAATTGATAAAACCTATTCATTTAATAATCTCCCTTCATTTAGAATAGAAATTTAAGATATAGTGTTTTCCGTGGCTTTAACCAACCCTTGCTAGAGATTGGTACCAATTAAATTTTCTTATTCATGTTTAATGACTATTCTTCAGTAGATTCGAATCATTTGATTGTCATTTTAAACTTCCAAGTTCTCGCTGATAAAACACATGTGCCAGTTTTTTGTCAGATATTTCCAGCTTTTAACAAGAAGTAGACCAGGCCTAGTCCACAATCTTTTCTTTTTTCTGCAATGATTCCTTTTTTTTTTTCCCTGTTTTAACCAACCAACAAATGACATATATGGTGAATAACTTGTGTTCGATAAATCAAAATAAAATTAATTTAGGTGCGCATAAGTTAGTTTGAACAATCACTTCAATTGAACCAAAAAAAAAAAAATTATTTGACAGGAACAAGAGGAAAATACAGTTGGATAGAAATTCTCAGTTTGCCTGTAATAATTTTTTTTTCTGAGAAATTTCATGCAATTTTAATTTAAGTAATGCTATTGGAACATAAAATATTCACTTAATTTTTTAAATTAATTATGTGACGGTGATGTGTTGTCCAATAGTGTTGTTATGATTGTAACTCTCACACTTTTTCGTTAAGACTCTATTATTTGATATATCATTATATTAATAAATTAAATTAATTTTATATGTCAAAATAGCATTACTCTTTTAAATTACTTGATAATTAGAAAAGAAAGCTAAATATGTAGAGATGTTCTCGGGTAGGAATTTTGGGGTTCCAAGATTTGAGCTGATAAGTTGTAAAAGATTATTTCTTTGGCCAACTCTACCCGATTGAGGGTAATGTTCCAAATTGAATTTCGTCCAAAAATTTGGCTCGGAAGGTCTCGTAAGAATGCATAATGCCTCACAAATTTTCAGACTTTAAGTTATTAATTTTTGGATCATTTTAACAATTCAATTACTAAATTTTTAGATTATTTTTACAACTAGATTGTTAAAATTTAATATAAAGATGTATGAATCAACACAATAAACTAATAAAACTAAAGAAAACATAATAAATCTAATTCATATGTTTTATAGTAGTCTAAAACAATATAAATAAAACACAATCACAAGTTGCTAAAATTTTATGAATAGTCTGCATTCTTACCCGATATTAGCTAAATACTAAAAAAACCTTTCATTAACCCGCCAAAAAAATGTGGAAATCGAATTATCGGGTAGAGTAGGACTGAAATATTAAGGAAGGGGTTGGATGGGCAAAATTTTGAACACTTCTATAAATATGTTACAGGTGGCCGGAGCAGTCGGTGCCATGTGAACCCATTACTAGAGTCTAACAATTTAACATTAGATGATTTAACTTGATCAAAATCAACAAATTGTGAAGTTAAAGGGGTTAAATTATGGTATCAAATTATTATTTTTATTAATGAGGCAGTGTAAAATATTTTATATATTATTATTGTTAACAACGGTCAAAAATAGACCAACACAAGATCCATGACTAACATCTATTTTTATGGTACGGTACCCACTAAATTTTTTGTGGATATTAAATGTCTTTAGTTTAAATCTTGATAATTCTTTAGATCGAGGTAATATTTTTTATGACTGTTCTAATTTTGGCTTGATGTCCTGCATTTGGCTAGACCAAGAAAAAAAATTAGTAAATATGCGTGTAAATTGATCCCTAACAATTAAATAAGAAAAAAAAAAAAAAGACAGAAGGCTATAGATAATACCAAAAAGCTTAGTCAAACAAAAAGATTTGGTGTTATTGAAGCCAAAAACTACAGCATCACCGAAGATTTGAGTTCAGGGGAAAAAAAAGACCTAACAATGCACCCAAAAATTAGGACTTCGAAGCTTGCAAGCTCATTACTCTTATGTCCTCCATCAGCCGGTCTAAATTACAGAATGAAGACCCACCTTCACTAACACTCTTTCTTGCTAATTTTGACATCTGATTAGCCCTACCCATGAACTCATCCTTCCTCTCCTCCATGAGTTCTTTGATCATCTTCTCCACAATAACCCTATCACAAGTGTCTTTCATGTCCAACCCAAGCTTCCAAACCTCCCCCACAAACCTACTGTTCACCTGCTGGTCAACAAAGTACGGCCAGCATGCCATCGGAACTCCGGCTACTATATTCTCCAGAGTCGAGTTCCACCCACTATGAGTCAAAAACCCTCCGATCGCCGGGTTTGCCAAAACCTCTTCCTGTGGAGCCCAACCCACAATACACCCTCTTTTCCTTGTTCCTTCTAAGAGTTCAACCGGAATCTGACTTTCAGTAATGTCCCCGGCGATGGAACCATGCTGTCTGACCCACAAGAACAGCTTGCCACTGTTGACTAAACCATGCCAAAACTCCAGTAACTGGTCTTTGGTCATGACAGCAAGACTTCCAATGCTCACGAAGATCACAGATTTCAATGGTTGTGCATCGAGCCAGGCCAAGCAACTCTTGTCTTCTTCCCATAAACTGTTAGAAAACGTTGCGTGTGAAGTCCCAAGTCTAGCCCTGTGATGGGTGTGTAGGGGACCAATGGCGTAGAGGTTTGGGCAAAGACTGCGCATGTGAGACAACAATGGTCCTTCTAGCTCTTCAAATGTGTTGATAATCACACCTTGGGCTTTTTGGAGTTATTGGTTCTCCTTCAAAATTAGTTTGATAAGAGGGTCAGTCGGGTCACCGGATCTACAGAAGCTGGAAAGATCACGACGCCGGAGAAAACCCTCCATGCCCGGTACACATGTTATCCTCGCATCCAAGTCATCTCCTATAGATCAGAAAGTGAATGCAGAGTTCATGTTTTAAAGAGGAGGAGAGAGGATGAGGGTGGGGGGGGGGGGTGTTGGAAACAGAGGATATCAGAATAACCCACCTACCTTTAAATGGAAGCTCTCCAGCTTCGATGAGTTTGGGGACACACAAATGAATCCATAAGCCACAAGGACTTATTGTCTCGAAGTATATCAGTGGAATTCCAATCTGTTGAGCAACACCACCAGCAAAACTGAAGAGCCCATCTGCTATGATGCAAGTCACCGGCTGCTCGGACTTAGAACTCAGATTGCCGGAAGTTACCATCTCCGTGAAAATTGGGTATGTCACAGCTTCCATTCCATCAACCATCTCCGATGGCCTGAAATCGGAATTTCGGATAGCGAGTGAAACGGGACTGGACGTCGGTGTATCGGAGAAGACGATGCTGGACATGGTCGGTGTTGAGGAAGGTGACATGGAAATCGGCGAGGCAAAGAAGCTCGGCTAGTTTGAGCATGCAATTTACTGGGCCTTGTAGTGGTAAGGGGAAGATTAGTATATGAGGAGAGAGGGTTTTTTGAGAATCCATCAGATCAAGAAAGCTCGATTCACCAGTTGTGACTTTGTATTGTGAAAAGCTTTCCCACTTGGTTTAAATGGTTGGATGGAAGTCTTCAATGTCCTATACTATAAAATTGGCAAATGCCATTTTTCGTGCCTTTGCACCAGATTTCTTCTCGGGTAATGTGTAGACAACAGTTTAGAAGAACAGTACATCTATAAACCCTTTGGTTTCGTTTGGTAGAACCGTAGGATTAAATATTAAATATTATTATTTTTTATTTAATCGAATTTAATATTTTATTTGATAAATAAATTTGATATCGTATTAATTTTAAAAACGTATATTTATCGTATATTTTTTATACGATAGACCTGTATTATGAAAGTTTTTTAATACCACCAAAAGAGGTGGTGTTATATTCCAACGCAAATGTATTATTGTACACATTTATTATTATAATCCTCCAAGTGATAAATTCAAGTTGTCATCAATATAACAAATACTGATCGAATATATTTTTGTTAATTCGACATTAATACGATGAAATAATTATCTAATTAAATAACCGATTGGATTAAATAACTAATATTCAACGCTTATATTGTGTATTTTCAAACACTAGATAAAATTACTTATTATTCTAATATCATATTTAATCTTGTTTTAATTTATCTGTATTGTATTAAATTGTATTACTTTATCTAATTTATTCAATTTTAATACGACAACCAAACGAGCTATTTGCGTACACTGTATATCTATATATTTATTTAAATAATTTTTTTTATTCTTTTTTTTAAAATAAAAGTTATAGAGTTATCAAAACATATAGGTATTTATCTCACAATAATTTAATGATAATTTGATGATAATAGATTTCGTTAGTTCAGTTACTAATTAGACGTTTATGTGTAATATTTCAAACTTAAAAAGTCTAAGAATTAGATACTTACAAATTTCAAGAGGTTTGAGTTTAATTTATTAATTGATATGCTAGCGGACATTAACGACAAAAATTTAAATATTATATATCTACAAATTTTAGAGGGTTTGAATATAATATTTTAAATGTCAAATAATTTAAATAATTAAGAGGGCTTGCATATAATTTTTCCCTACTCTTATGCCCTCGATCGAACGTTCCAAATTACAGAATGATGACCCCACCTTCATTAACACTTTGTCTTGCCAATTTTGACATCATATGGGCCCTCCCCTCCAATTCATCTTCCCTCTCATCCAGTGATGAATACACTTTATCACAACTATCTTTCATGTCCAATACCATATTCTAAACCTTCCCAACAAATTTATTTTTCACTTGAGGCTTGTCTGAATAAATTTTAATAAGGGGTTGCATTGATTTCTCCAAATTTTTTTAAATTTAATATTTTTTTTATAAAAATGAAATTCAATATTCAATTTAATTCATACTCATGTTTGATATGTAACACATATACACATAGGATCCATAGATATATTATAATTATTAACAACTATTTACCTTATAAATAATTATTTTACCCTTAATCAATTCAATTCAAACTCATGTTAAAAGGGGTATAATTATCTTTTGAATTCTTAACCCCTTATCCATTTTTCTAAACTCACCTCCCCCCTAGGTTTGATAAAATTAATGATCATAGATTTAATTTTCGTGTCAGTTACGAGTCTAATTTGAAAATCCGAGACTAAATTTTTCATACAAACAAAGAATTTGAGGGAATTTTGGACTATTTTCTCCAAACTCAACTTGTCGAACCCTCTCATATCCCTGTACCAAACAACCCCTTGTTGATCAATGAAGTACGGCCAGTAGTTTGTATGTAGAGTAATGTTACACAGTTCCAAACCGAGTCAAGCTTCTGTCTTTATCACCTTGAAAGAAGACCTTATAACCAAGGTTTAAAAAATCGACAGTTATTGTGTGTAATAGCTGTTACATATCAGTGACAGAGGTCAATGATATCGTTACACTATAATTTATCAGCTAGCAAAAACTATACTTGTAACGGGTGTTACAGCAACGTAACGGACTGTAACGGACGTTACATCCCGTTATGTAACCGTAATAGCCATTACACATCAACAACTCTTATTTTGCTACCGAAAAACAAGAAAATTAAGAAGAATATATGAAAAGACAACAATAGAGATTAAGAGCAGCTGTGTAAATCTGGTACGTGTTCAACAACATCGGAGGTCAATGATATCGTTACACTATAATTTATCAGCTAGCAAAAAATACACTTGTAACGGGTGTTACAGCGACGTAACGGACTGTAACGGACGTTACATTCCGTTATATAACCGTAATGGCCGTTACACATCAACAACTCTTATTTTGCTACTGAAAAACAAGAAAATTAAGAAAAATATATGAAAAGACAACAATAGAGATTAAGAGCAGCTGTGTAAATCTGGTACGTGTTCAACAACATCGGCTTCTAAATACTACTGCTTGACCACTTTAGGTGGAGTTTCGATTTCACAACGCTTAGCCTACTACGAGGGAGAGAGAAACGAGCTCTTCTTTGTTTAGGGCAGATGAACGGCAGAGAAAAGACTGGAAGTAAAAAATTATATTAGGACTTTTTATCATGGACGAAAAGACTAAGCTGCCCCTTGTGAAAACATGAGATTAAATCTAAATGTAATAACTAAAAGTTGACCCAAATATAAAAATTGGGTCTAGCTTCTGCTTGGCCCAATTGAATCAACAAATTTTTTGTTTTATATTTTGGTAATATTTTTCCTGGAATGTATACCATAATTAAAAAAAGATTCTTGATAAAATCTCAATTAGGTATGATTTTTAAATTCTCACATAAATATTTAAGTGGATTCCCTTCAATTAAAAGTCATTAGAAAACTCTTATCATGTAATTATTAAAATATAAATTCTTATAACTTTATTTATAATACAATAAAATGTATAGCATGTCATAAAAGACTTATATTTACATAAGTTTAGAGTTAAAAATGCATAATTTTTTTTTTGAGAGAGGTGTGAACAAAAACAAAAAACTCATGCTTTCAATTTTTTGTTCCTGTTGCGTAACGCCCATGTCATATCGTATCCGTTACTATTATCGTTACATCGACCGTTACAATTTTTCAAAACTATGCTTCTAACACAAGGACCCTAGCTTCATGGTTCTAGCTAGTAGACCCATATACCCTGGACGATGTTCTAAATCTTCTCGGAAGGAAAGGGAAAAGGCATAGCAGGCATGCTGCTAAACTCACCACGAGAGTTGGCTACACCTTCATCGTCAGAAGAAATTCAAATAATTACAACTCAAATACATATTATATTTTGGATCAATAGATTTCATCAATTTTTTTAGTAGGACCCATTTATTTAACACTCCTTCAATGAATTATATGCATGTAGATTGTATTTTTTGGGTTTCATTTAGATTATATATTATTTTCTTGTATGTAATAACTTTATTTTTTTTGAGAAATTTCATGTAATTTCAACTTGACTATTGTTATTGAAACATAATAATTTTAGAAAAATGTTATATAAGTCAAATGAAACCCAAAATTTAAAACTCAAATGTTTATTATTCCTGGGATGTGTGTGGGATAAGTGAGTCTCACTGAAAATATTGATGAGACTTACTCATCTAAGGGATGTTATGCATTTGAGTTATAACTTTTTAGGTTTCATTTGAATTTTGTAGTGTTGCTCGAAAATTTATCTAACTTGTTAAATTAATGATGTAATAATAATGATGTAATCTAATAATGTTGTTATGACTACAATTTTTTAACCTTTTTAATGAGGGTTTATTGCTTGACACATCATTTTGTCAGTAAATTAGATTAATTTTTTATGTCCAAAATTTTTAAAAGTGATCTAATAATTGAATATGACATTTGATAATTTAGATATGTTTGGTTCAATCTCTTTGCATACCCTCTAAATATTAGTCACTCATGCTCCAACTCAACTTAAGTCCTATTGACTAGGAATTGAATTCCACGGAGTAATCGGTTCAAGTCTCAAAATCCCATAACATAAAAAAAAATAAAAAATAAAAGCTTAACTCTTTTGACTTACTTGATGAGAAAAGAAAGCTAAAACTGTTACTGGTGGCCGGAGCTGGCGGTGTCATGTGAACCCACAATTTAAGGTAAGACTACTACGGTTAGACTACGGTGCCCACGAGTACCAAAAAGTTGAGTCAAACAAAGAGATCAGGTGCTATTGAAGCAAAAAAATTACAGCATTACCGAAGACTTCATTTCAGAGATGAAGAAGAAAAAAAAAGGCCAAGCAAATTAGGCCTGTGAAGCTGGCGAACTCATTACTCTAATGTCCTCAATCAGACGGTCCAAATTACAGTATGAAGACCCACCTTCGCTAACACTCTTTCTTGCTAATTTTGACATCTGATCAGCCCTACCCATGAACTCATCCTTCCTCCCTCCAGGAGTTCTTTGATCATCTTCTCCACAATAACCCTATCACAAGTATCTTTCATGTCCAACCCAAGCTTCCAAACCTCCCCCACAAGCCTACTGTTCACCTGCTGGTCAACAAAGTACGGCCAGCATATCATCGGAACTCCGGCTACTATACTCTCCAGAGTCGAGTTCCACCCACTATGAGTCAAAAATCCTCCGATCGCCGGGTTTGCCAAAACCTCTTCCTGTGGAGCCCAACCCACAATACATCCTCTTTTCCTTGTTCCTTCTAAGAGTTCAGCCGGAATCTGACTTTCAGTACAGTCCCCGGCGATGGAACCAGGCCGTCTGACCCACAAGAACCGCTTGCCACTATTGACTAAACCATACCAAAACTCCAGTAACTGGTCTTTGGTCATCACAGCAAGACTTCCAATGCTCACAAAGATCACAGATTTTATTGGCTGTGCATCGAGCCAGGCCAAGCAACTCT